ACATGGACGCCAATGGAATCCTGAATGTGACGGCCAAGGAGATGAGCACCGGCAAAGCCAAGAACATTACCATCAATAACGACAAGGGCCGCCTCTCGCAGGCAGAGATCGATCGCATGGTGAACGAGGCCGAGCGGTACGCCGACGAGGATGAGAAGCAGCGCCAACGCATCTCGGCTCGCAACAGCCTCGAGGGCTACGTCTTCGGCGTCAAGCAGGCCGTGGAACAGGCCACTCCTGACAAGCTCAGCGAGAGCGAGAAATCCTCTGTACTCGAGAAGTGCAACGAGACGGTCAAGTGGCTGGACGCCAACACCACAGCCGACAAGGAGGAGTTCGAGTACAAGCTGAAGGAGCTCACACAGCACTGTTCCCCCATTATGACTAAGATGCACCAGCAGGGCCAGCCACAGAGCAACGCCAACTGTGGCCAACAGGCGGGCGGCTTTGGTGGTGCCGGCTACAAAGGACCCACCGTGGAGGAAGTCGACTAAAGTCATTCCCAACTATAGCTATATTGCTCCACTACTCGATATTAGTTTTTAGTTTAACAGACTGATTAAGATTTTTGGTTGATGTATCATCAATAAGTAAAGCTAATTGTTAAAGTATTCTTAAGTTAGCAACAAATTTTAGAATAAACCAATAATTTATTATTTTGAGAACCAAAATCAAATTGTCTTTGAATTGCCTGGAAAGGGATTAACATCATTTTCAGCTTAGCGATATATGATTACTATATGATTTGCTCTATTAAATATATAGTAGATGTATCTAGGTCCATTTTGGCGTGGAGATTCTCTACAAATAAAATAGGGGATTATTACATATTATATTCTGTTTTATTTAGAACACTATAGTTGCTTGAGACTTGCTATATCAAGCATGTACATATGTATATGCTCATGTAGACCAATCCTCATATAAAAAATAAATAGTTCTACAGTAAAGGCATAGTAAAGGTAGCTCGAGCTCCAAAATTGAACAGTTAAGTTACAGCAGACCTCCTCTTGAGATTGACCAACAATGGAGCTTGTTGTGTGCATTGTATGCTTCTTGTATACATGATCAATCGTGATCTGCAATGCATCCCCTACAAGTAGGTTAAGATTTCCAGCTTGCCAGCTAGATCAACGTGACTAGATCAAATTGGGTCGATCGTTACATAGATAGATACATAGTACAAGACCTTTTACATTATGAATTCGCGTTTTCAATGGGTTCAAGGTATACAGAGAGCATTGTTATAGTTTTAATCATTTCAATCTCAGTGCAAATAAAATATGTCTATGTGCTTATGTGGAACATTTTGCAGTGTCATTGTATGTTGCATGTGTATGTATGTATGTCTGTATGTATGTATGTATGTATGTATGTATGTACATACATAGGCATTCGTTTTTAATTGGTCAGTGAACTTCATCAATTGATAAGCTTTACTGAAGAAACTATTTAACAGGTTGGATTACCATTCACGTGTACACGAGTTTGTATATATTGATGTAAACGTGATGTCCAAAAATAGCCTATTAAGTCAGCATTCGCAATTTTGTATTATAAAGAAAACATTCTAATAATAGGGAAAGTTTAAAATAATTTATTTGGTTTAAAAATATATTTGTGCGCTAACAATTTATTAGCCGAAATGAATTTTCTAGAAAAGCCAATTGTTGCGGTAGGTCAAGCTACACAACCAACCATTATTTTCTCTCCGTAGCTCGCCCATTATAAAAAACAAGCAAGACCTTCGAGAATATTCCAATCATTCCCATTGTACGTCGACTCTCCCTCTCTTGCACTCATAAGCAACCGCCTCGAGTGGGAATGACATTCGAGTCGATTCGAGAAGAGAGCGTCGAGAAATTTCGAAAAGAGAGCGCGCGAGTATAAATACGGCAGAAATTTGCTGCTCGCTTCAATTCAATTCAATCAAGTGAACTGACAACGTCGAAAGACAAAAGCTAAATACAAGCAAGCAACTAGCTGAACAAGCTAAACTACAGAAACCAAACAATTTTAAACTAAGTAAAGTTGAATCAAAGTAAAAAGTAAAGTTAAAAAAAAAGTCAAAAATCAAAGTAATATATAATAACAACAAGAAGAGGAAAACCATTTCCACAACAACAAGAAGTAGACGAGACTAATCTTAGAGAAGAATAGAAGAACAGAAGCAGAAGAAAACACAGATCACAGAACAAACAGAATGCCAGCTATTGGAATAGATCTGGGCACCACGTACTCCTGCGTGGGTGTCTACCAGCATGGCAAGGTGGAGATCATTGCAAATGACCAAGGCAACAGGACGACGCCCAGCTATGTGGCTTTCACAGATTCGGAGCGTCTGATTGGCGACGCGGCCAAGAACCAGGTGGCGATGAACCCCAAGAACACGGTGTTCGATGCGAAGCGACTGATTGGTCGCAAGTACGACGATCCGAAGATAGCGGAGGACATTAAGCACTGGCCCTTCAAGGTGGTCAGCGATGGTGGCAAGCCCAAGATTGGCGTCGAGTTCAAGGGAGAGCAGAAGCGCTTTGCGCCCGAGGAGATCAGCTCTATGGTGCTGGTGAAGATGAAGGAGACGGCCGAGGCGTACCTGGGCCAGAGCATCACAGACGCGGTCATCACAGTACCCGCCTACTTCAACGACTCGCAGCGCCAAGCCACCAAAGACGCCGGCCATATAGCCGGCCTCAACGTGCTGAGGATAATCAACGAGCCAACGGCGGCGGCACTGGCCTATGGCCTAGACAAGAATCTGAAGGGAGAGCGCAATGTGCTCATCTTCGATCTGGGCGGCGGCACCTTTGATGTGTCCATTTTAACCATCGACGAGGGTTCGCTGTTTGAGGTGCGAGCCACGGCCGGTGACACACACTTGGGCGGCGAGGACTTTGACAACCGACTGGTCACCCATCTGGCGGAGGAGTTCAAGCGCAAGTACAAAAAGGATTTGCGGTCTAATCCTCGCGCTCTTCGTCGCCTGCGCACTGCGGCAGAGCGAGCCAAGCGCACGCTCTCGTCTAGCACAGAGGCGACAATTGAGGTGGACGCGCTGTTTGAGGGCCACGACTTCTACACAAAGGTGAGCCGAGCGAGATTTGAGGAGCTGTGCGCCGATCTGTTCCGCAACACACTGGCGCCAGTGGAGAAGGCCCTGAACGATGCCAAAATGGACAAACAGCAGATCCACGACATTGTGCTCGTGGGCGGCTCTACTCGCATTCCAAAGGTGCAGAACTTGTTGCAACAGTTCTTCTGCGGCAAGAGCCTTAATCTTTCCATCAACCCCGACGAGGCGGTGGCCTACGGTGCAGCCGTCCAAGCAGCCATACTCAGCGGCGACCAGAGCGGCAAGATCCAGGACGTGCTCCTAGTGGACGTGGCTCCCCTTTCGCTGGGCATCGAGACTGCAGGCGGCGTCATGACCAAGCTGATTGAGCGCAACTCGCGCATCCCGTGCAAGCAGACGAAGACCTTTTCCACGTACTCGGACAACCAGCCGGGCGTCTCTATTCAGGTGTTCGAGGGCGAGCGCGCCCTTACGCGGGACAACAATGCGTTGGGCACCTTCGATTTGTCTGGCATTCCGCCAGCACCGCGCGGCGTGCCCCAGATCGAGGTCACCTTCGACATGGACGCCAATGGAATCCTGAATGTGACGGCCAAGGAGATGAGCACCGGCAAAGCCAAGAACATTACCATCAATAACGACAAGGGCCGCCTCTCGCAGGCAGAGATCGATCGCATGGTGAACGAGGCCGAGCGGTACGCCGACGAGGATGAGAAGCAGCGCCAACGCATCTCGGCTCGCAACAGCCTCGAGGGCTACGTCTTCGGCGTCAAGCAGGCCGTGGAACAGGCCACTCCTGACAAGCTCAGCGAGAGCGAGAAATCCTCTGTACTCGAGAAGTGCAACGAGACGGTCAAGTGGCTGGACGCCAACACCACAGCCGACAAGGAGGAGTTCGAGTACAAGCTGAAGGAGCTCACACAGCACTGTTCCCCCATTATGACTAAGATGCACCAGCAGGGCCAGCCACAGAGCAACGCCAACTGTGGCCAACAGGCGGGCGGCTTTGGTGGTGCCGGCTACAAAGGACCCACCGTGGAGGAAGTCGACTAAAGTCATTCCCAACTATAGCTATATTGCTCCACTACTCGATATTAGTTTTTAGTTTAACAGACTGATTAAGATTTTTGGTTGATGTATCATCAATAAGTAAAGCTAATTGTTAAAGTATTCTTAAGTTAGCAACAAATTTTAGAATAAACCAATAATTTATTATTTTGAGAACCAAAATCAAATTCTCTTTGAATTGCCTGGGGTCAGCGTAAATTGATTGCGCTTTAATATTTCGTTTTTCATGAAGAATTTTTTATTTGTTTAACAAATTATAGATAGAATTATATTAAATATGGTTTTACATTATTATACTTCACATGAAAAGCATAAATAAAAGTTTGAAGCGATTTGTTTCGGCCAAACATGTAGGATTTATTATATTCAATTTTTTTTTTAGTTTTCATTCTGTCTGAACTCATTTAAAATATACATATATTGCAAGTTGTTTATCGAATATTAGGAGATATATAATTCTAGATATATATTTTTAAAATAGAAACTATCAATAATTGATGGCTTGAGGGGATCAGCATTACAAGTTGTGGATAGTTTTGTGCGGCATGGGATAATTGGGTAGTGGAGCATTAAAAAACAAAAACAAGAAACTTACGACTTAGATTTTTTTCTTTTTAAATGTACAGTTGTGCTGCAACAGAACACAATTTAATGGTAAATTAAGAGTATATAAAATGTATGTGTGTAAAAGTATGAGAAAAATAATAATGCAAATATTTATAGAAATAGTTCATTAAAATTACTTACAATGAATGAGAGTAGAGAAGTATTGAACAGAGGCAGGGCAACAGTAAATGAAATATATTGCAAATATGTTTAAATATTTAATTTGATTAAACAAAAAAAATAATAAAAGTCAACAACAATTACGATATTGCATGTAATTGGATTGGTATAGGATGGTTTATGGGGTGTATGCGTTTTACGAATCTCATAAGTTTTGTAAGAATGATAATAATTTCGTTTCGTAGTTCTTATTCGATTCTAAATTGCGTAACGAATGCCGCTCCTCGGGAAACAAATGCAATGCATACGGCTTGTTGGCCTTATTCAAAGCGCTGATCAGTCGTGACGTGTGATTAAAATGCACATTCTCATCGATCAAACCATGAATGAGCAACAGTCGATTTTCCCTGAAGAAAGTAAAGGGAGAGAGTACATAAATATCATCATGAAGCAGCACCAATTCGCCACACTCACTCATCGGGAAATGCATGTACGTAGTTGAGCACCGAACCCGCCGTATAGCCCGCTTCATTGCACTTTGGCATATCCATATAACGTTCCGTATAGCCCGTATCATAGTATTCCCAATTCGTAACTGGGGCGCCCGCAATAGCCACCTTGAATATTTCCGGATACTGAACTAGACCCATCAAGCTCAAATAGCCACCTGAAAGCACAAAAAATTTATACATATATCTGTATATATTGGCAGTTATGATAAAGCCCTACCGTAGGACCAGCCATGTATAGCAACTCGTTCCATATCAATGTATCCCAATTGATCGGAGAGTATGCGCAGCGCATCCACCTGATCTGTCAACTCCACCTGACCCATACGACCCCGAATATGACTCTCAAAGCGTATGCCACGATGCCTTGAACCGCGTGAATCAATGCAGATCACACAATAGCCTTGGGCGGCCAGCATATGCATGCGCAACTGATGTTTTCCCTGTTTGCGATAATACCGATTATTTGAGGAGTTGGTTTAATAATTGCTGCTTACCTTAAATGTATTGTTAACAGTTTGCACCTCAGGTCCGCCGTAGACATTCAACACCGTGGGATATTTAACACCCAGCTGAAAGCTGTGCGGCTTAAAGACCATGGCATAGACGATATCGCCTGACGGCAGTTGCGGACGAAATATTTGCGGGCAATATTGTGGCTCCGGTTTGCCGCCCTCATGCAAAAATCCAACCAACGAGATCTGTATGCCATTGACTCCGCCATTCTGGCAGGTTTGCATCACTCGCATAACCTTGCAGCTGGGCAGTCGTTGGATGTTACAATAGACGAGCAGCATCAACTGACATAGCTGTCATGGATATGCACAATGACCAAGTCAGTCAGTCAATCATTAAAAGGAGGCTACTACTTACATCATCAAACTCCACCAGATACGAATAGCCCGGCTCGGTTAGCAGACGTATGTGCTCTGGACGCTGCAAACTTACTACATATAGATGTTTTTCCAATGGAGTATCGCGCAGTCCAACAAAATAAACCAATTGATTTGCTTTGTCCACCCAGAGATTACGTGCCAGCACCTCCCATTCTCCGCTCGTCAGGGCCACCTTATTAACGATGCGTGGTTGCAGAGCGGCTGCCTCAACAAAACTGGGATGTTGAGCAGCAGCTGCGGCGGCAGACGGATCCGTTTGGCAGCCATTGGCATGACTCAATAGTAAACTGGAGGTGACCAGATACAAATGTCTAAATCCCGTCTCCTCAGAGGCCCACAGGTAGGTGACGCTCATATCACCTACTTCCAGAAAGTAGAGCATATCATGCACATTGATCCAGCTCTCTGATTGTTCCGTATATATGACCTGCAGCGGTGTTATTGTGCGATTATATGGACTACGCCAACTATGATCTCCAATGGAATCTGTCGGCGTGGACACCTGACTGCTGTACGATTCACAGAAATTGTCGAGCGGTATTAACATAACGTCTAAACGCTGCTGTTTGCGATTAAGTCCCTGCATCCAAACACTGTGAATTCAAAGTAGAATATGAGTACTGAATTTCCGATATTTAAAAGGGTCTATGGCTTACTAATTGGCATCCGGTGTCCAGCCGACACGCACAATGTATTCCAGCCAGGGAAATACCACCGACATTGAATAGGGCAAGTCCTTGATGGTAATCTCGCTAATTAGCAGCGCCTCATTGAGCACAAATTGTACAAGCTTCAATTTAGATTTGGCATTTTGTGTGCCACTACGTGGAAATCGATATTCATCCACCTCGCCAGGCACGGCCGTCGACGATGGGAATGTGTAAACGGACACATCCGTTTCATCTACCTCCTCGTAGACAATGCGATAGATGCCATCGTCCGAGTGCGGTTGCCACCAATAGCCCTGATAGCGACTAAACTCCTCCTGCATCACATATGATGGCACTCCAGCACTTAATGCATCATCCGCAAACGTGTGTCGTCCACTTCTTGTGTACGTTAAACGCTTCTCATGGCCGCTTAGTGTGTGCGTTACCCAAATATCACAGTCACTGATATGAGCAATCAAATCGGAGTTCTGTGGACAGATCTGTGGATCCAACGCGGTCCACTCCGGGCATGTTCGCAGCTGTGAGGGAAACAGTAAACCAGACTGCCAAAATAAATGAAAAAACAAAAAAAAAAAAATAATAATTACAATTTAAATAAAGAGACGTTGCACATTCATGGCTCACATTGTATCCCGTGTCCAGACATTGATACAGATCATTCAAGCAAGGAAAGACCAGTTTGCCGCTAGGTTTGTGCAGTTCATACGAGGTAATACCCCACGTAGACAAACGCTTGCGCTCCTGCATCAATTGAAATTCTCTGGCACATGGATAGGCGCCACTACTTCCACCAATGCCGGTTCCCACGTGGCTGTTGGGTATGGGCTGTTGGAGCAGCGACTGCCAAATCAATCTATTAAAGAAAAACATAACATTATAAATTTGCGAGCAGTTAAGAAAACATCATTTCAAACCTGGGTTTTGGATGTGCACCAAAATGAAACGTTGGCAGGTTTATTGTTGGTGATGTTGCGCCGCTTAGACTACCAGCAGTGGCCGTTTCAATGTCAACGCCCCCGATCTGCTGCAGTTGCTGTTCGTCATGCTGTCTCAGGTTAATATCAGTGAATAGCAGCGTCGTTTCCCAGTTATGTGGTGGTGTGCTGAGAAAATAGCACCGGGCACGGCCATCGGATAGATGACGGAACTGAACATTGGTGGGCACCATCGTTGACAGATTGGACAGATCCTTGCGAATGTCTTGGACAACACATCTGATCTCAGCCCATGATTTGGATGGCGTCGGCGCGGCTATATGTCCATCATTATCAACAGCATCATCCTCATCCTCCTCCTCATCGTTATCATCACAGTCCTCGTCATTGACGCCCAGACCATGCGGCGGTGTGCCGCTGGTAGGTGAACTTAAGTGATTTGTGATAGCCGATGCAGCGGCTACCACTACCTCCGTTGTTGTTGCTGTCGCCGCCGCCGCGGCTGCTGTTATTGGTGATGTGAGCGAATTGAGGGCGCTGCCTATTGAGGAGTAAAATGCATTAGCTGTGGTACCCAACGAGCCCATGCTCGTAAGACTAGCTATCGAACCGGCACCAATGCCACCCACACCCACGCCGATTCCGGAGTGCGTTGAGCTGGGCGTGCTGGCTGCACTATGACTCCGTTCCATGGCGCTGTTAGTGGTGCTGCTGCCGGCAACACTTACAGCCGTCGACACACGTGAAGTGAATCCATCGAAGAGATTTACAAACGATGTGGCCGCTGCGTTTGTGATACTATGGCTGCGTTGATGCCCATTGTTGCTCTTATTTTTGTTGCTGTTGCGTTTGATATTCGTTATGTTGCTGTTGATACTACTGACGCCAGTCGTACCGATGTCTGTGCTAGGTGGGGCGCTAGCTTCCGTGGAGCTAGTGGCATTTGGACCTCCCAGATTAACGACGAGCTGTGAGCTACGCGATGCTTGTTGTTGTTGCTGCTGTGTCGCTTGTATTCTGTTGTCCATGTTGCGATACTTGTTTTTTTTTTTATAGCACAAATGCAACGCAGTTTTCGTTTTCACTGACAATTTTAAATTGACCTAAATCTGTACTCCACGTACGTACACATACAAACACACACACGTTCGGACAAGCAGACAGACAGAGAGACAAATAGACAGTCTGCTTTTTGGTTAATTTGTTATCCCTTTGCACACAAGTACAGACTTACACACACGTACGCACGCATGTACATACATGCCAAATTACTTATTCACACAGCCATGCAATGGTTGTGTTATTGTTGTTATCGCTCTTGCTACTGCAGTTGCATTTCTTTTGTTTATTATTGTGTACTATTTTTAACAAAATATCTATATCGTCACGTTTTCAGTTAGGTATCTCGCAATGCCGTTGTCTACCCGCCTGGCTTTTCATTTTTTCCTCCAAGGTGTTGCGCTCTTTTCGAGAAATGGTGTGTAAATTGGTAATTGTTGTTGTTTTTTTTCATTTATCGTCTCTTTGCAAAAAAGTGAAAGTCTTACGCGTGTTGAAAGTGGCAACCAGGTCACGCATGTGCTGCAGTCATTATTTCAATGCGCACTTTATTTAACCGTATTTTCAGTTAGCTATACCGAATATTCTACAATATATTAGTTGTTTTTATTTTTTGGTCACGGGCTACGGTGAGCGAAACGATTTCAACTGCAATGCCGTTTGTTTTACTTGATTGTATACCACGCAGCGTTGCACTTTGGTGAATCAGTGTCACCATACAATTTCTTCTTTGCCAGTATTAAGAAACGGTCACACAGCACAGTTCAATGTGAAAAGCCGGCTTTATTTTTAATGTCAAAAATTAGCTAAGTGAAGTGAGAATAGTTAAGAATGCTAAAAGAGTTGTAGGAAAAGCTTTTCAGCTCCTCAATTTCACCAAACACACATTTGTCAATACGGCTAGTCGGGCTACCAGTATACATTAACCAAATACGCCTAAAATTTAATTTTGATGTGTCTCGTACTTTTATATTTTTATTTAATATCTGACAACTTACATAGCCTCGAAGTTTTTTGGATACCCCTGTATGAGCCCTTTGATTGTTTTATTCTGGGTGTACATGCACCATCCTCGAACGCTAAGCTTTTGAGCCCGTCTTAAAGTATACTACTTAAACGTGATTAAAACGTGATATCAAGTACAATAAATTTAAGCAAGTTCTTACATGCCGAAAAGAAACATCTGCAATTGAACGATTAATTTTATAGATTTTTTTCATTCTTGTCCGTTGTCAATACATACCGTGCACAATACCAAATATTTCAAACTCACAGGACTGTATTAATTCATCGCTTTCAATTATTTTGGTAGGCATTTGTTGAGGTATTTCGGCTTTCTTGTGGATCTTTCTCAATCGCGATTTTTCTGTTTGCGTTTCAACAGTTTCCATTTCAAAAAAAAAAAAAAAATAAAAATGTTCAGCCAAATTTGAAATCTTTTTCGAAATCAGTTGATTACGAGTTGGGCGATCATTATGATTAACAAGTAGAGCAACACTGCCTCGCATGTATTTAAGTGCATACAGTTATCGTTAATCGCTACGCACTTTGCGAGTCGACGAGACGCAGTTGCAAATTAATTTAAAAACGAAATATACAGAATACAAATAACTTAAAAAAAAAAAAAAACAAAATGACTACGAGTACAGTATATGCTGGTGTCCATGTTAAAAATAAACTAAGTGATTTTTATCCCGTTCACAATATTGATATGGAAAGGGATGTGGCATACTTGAAGAAGATCATTGCTGAACAGCTGGAGCTGCAGTTCGATGCCAACGAACTTGGTGTGTATATAGTTAAATATAATATGTACGTTCAGTATAAGCAATAATGCCAATTCATTGTGTGCTTTTCAATGCAGATATATGCTACTTGGGCAAGGTGCTCAGCGACAATTCCAAACTATCAAGCACAATGAAACCAAACGCAATTGTTCATTGTTTTCGCAAAATGAAGTGTTATACACCATACGAGCCGCCTGCTGCGAGTGAGATCAATACTAAGCACATACAGGAGCTATTTTCACTGACTTCGCACTTGCAAATCAGTGTCACATCTCGTTTTAACATACTACAAAAGATTCTGGCTGAGTATCCTGAGTTTCGCCGCAATTTGGGTGCTCAGGCACTGATTCGCGACTCGGTGCTATTCAATATGCTGCATGAGCCGGAGGTGGTGCAGAATCTGGTGCGGGATTATCCTTTAATTTGTGACGCAGCTTCATTTATAGTCGATACCATACGCAAGGAATTGGCGCGTAATAGTTCTGCCACGCAGTGTAATTGCTTTCAGCTCTTTGTCTTTCTTCGTATCTGATTATGACTTTTCACTTCGTAGTTCAAGAGCAAGCTGCCTCAGAGTCCACAACATCATCGGAAGAAGAGAATTCTTTGGGTGCAGGCAGCAGCAGCAGTGGCGGTAGCAGCAGTACAGCAGCTGCCAATTTGGCAGCCAATCGGAGGGACGAATTGGCTAACATACGACAGATCAGTCGCCAACAGCTGGCTAATGCTTTGGCCCGCGTCGACATGAGCTCCTTTAACTCGCTATCAAATATAGCTCAACGCAATGTAGATGAGGCTCTAAACGATGAGCGACCTCGTACCAGCACATCGGCTGCTGCCAGCGGCACGGTCGCAGCTGCTGCTGGCACTACAGCTGGTAGTGCTGCTGCCATCTCATCAGAACTGTTGCGCAATGAGCTGGCACGGGCTTTTCAATCGCTGCAGCACCAGCAACCGACGCCAGCTGTGGAAAACATGGACGTTGAGTCAGTAGCAACAGATGCTAGTGAATCGGCCGCTGTTGTTGACGAACCAGAGGATGATGAGGATGATGCTGTAGCTGGCGATGACAGCGATGTGCTGCCTCGCTGCTATCGCCGGCATCGCTTTACCGATCAGTTGCGTACCATGGCAGCCATGGGTTTTATAAATCACACCCAAAATGTTAATTACTTGACACTGGCCGACGGCAATGTCGAGCACGCCATAAATTTGCTAATGTTGGGTATGAACTGAACTGTGGCGCTAACCAGCTGTATTTATTCTGCTGTTCTCTAAAGTATATGCATATGTAAAAGCATATATATAATATATATATTTATATATATTATATATATATATATATATACATACATATATAATATATATATATATATATATGTATATATATAATATATATATTTATGTACACTTAAGCGATTTAGCATTATGTTTTGTGGTAGCTTCAATTACTCATAGAAATAAACAGAAAACTGCGTTTGTATATAGTGGGGCGCTTGTATTAGTATCCGCAAATCAAGCTGCTTGGAGCACCGGGGCGGCAACCATCAAATTAATTGAATTGAACTACTTAATTAAATAGTCTAATGCTTTGTCCTTATTGTTATTAAATTTCAAAAGAGCCGCCGAGATTTTTGTTTCTTCAAATCCGAGATCTATTAGCTCGCCCAGTGGAATGAGGTGCTCGATTATCTGTATGGCATGATGAAAACAATAATATATTCAGTCAGTAAATCAATCAATCAACAAAGCATGATATATACTGTATAGGACATACTAACGTACCTTTTTGTCATCGATGCCGCACAAGCTGACCACCTTGGCCACTCGCTCTAGTGGAAAGCCCATGGTGCTGATACGCTGCGCTAGTTTCTGTGCCGGCACAGTCAGCTCCTGGAATATGTTGGCATTGTTCGGCTGGCTGCTGGACAGTTGCTGTTGATGTTGCTGCTGCTGTGGCTGGGTCAATGCCAATGCCTGCTGTTCATTTTCATTTTGGCTGTGCAGACGGACGCGACGTTTTTCTGCCTGCTGCAGCTCCGTTGTCAGTTCTCGTAATATATCAGGCACGCTCCTCGATTTTATATCTGCTTCCGAGGTGTTCGGTGACAGCACGCTCATATTCGTACTATGTGGTGGCAGCGGTGGGGGTAATTGAGTAGGTGTGCCATATCCATTGACATAGCTGTGCTGCAAGTAATTTTGATTGGGATACAGTTGTTGCTGCTGTTGCTGAGGGTAATAATGCTGATTATAGACCATGTGTGGATATACGAGCTGCTGTTGCGATTGCTGTGTAGGAGTGTTATACAAGGGAGTTGGGTACATGGCTGGAATGCCTTGGGCATCATCACAGTGTACTTGAAAATTAACGCTATCTAGCGTGGCTTTGGTTTCCGCCAGAGTTGTGACAGCCAGCTCCAGTTCCGGCTGCGTCTGTTGCTGTTCATTTTTATTCTCTGGCTCTGGCTCTGGCTCACTTATATGTTCTGCTTCGTTTAATGGATGTGGTTTTTGCGTCAATTGGGTCTGGTGCAGCACCTGTGCCAGTATATCCAAATCGTTAATCGTCTTCATCTCTATATTATCGAATGGTGTCGAGTTCATATTGTATTCAAAATCTGCATAGTTTAGTGAACTGTTCCGTTTATGGTGTGTGACAATGGGTGTTGCTGCTGCAGCGCCACTCAGAATGGTGGGTTGCAGAATATTATTGAAATTGCACGAGCTCATTGACTTTGGTTTGAGTTTTTCACGTGACTCAGCAGCGCTAATTGACGTCGTAGTCGTTGTTATTGTTCCCGCTGCTGCTGAGGTCGTTGCTGTTGGCGACTCCACAGCTAACTCGTCATCATCGCTATCGGAAGACAACTCAGCTGCACTCGGATATTCAACAGCCCCAAGCATTTCCTTTTGTTTTGCCTCAAGCGCACGCTGACGCTCCTGTTTTCGTTGCTCCAGGCGCATGTGACGCGCCTGTTGCTGTTGGTGACGCACGCGACGCCACTGCTGGCACTTGCCGAGTACACTTCGCTCCAGCTGGTAGTCATAGTGGAATGCCTGCTCTTCCGCATAGTAGTTGACCCTGTATTGGGACAAACGGTTCGCAATAGTAGGGGGCAATTGGTATACTGGGGGTGGTGGTTTATAGCGTTCGACTATTTTGACGGGGACATCATCCATATTATTTGGCCAACATTCGTCATAGGCGCATACACGGCGAATTTTATTAATTATCTATTAATTAATAGCGACGCACTTTTTTTGTGTCTTTCCGTGTTTTTGTTGTTTTTTCCTTCTCTTAGTTCTCTTTTGTTATTGCAAACGATACCGATTATATGCAAACAGCAATCGATAAGACCTTATGTGTTGACTCATATAACGCATCTAAATTATATGTGCACACTGATTACGTCTATCGATGAAGACCGTTTGTGGGATGTGGAACGAATTAAATGAAATGGTTTTTAAATGAAATGGCTTTAAATGTTTAATTATCATATAATTTAAGATTCAATTTAATTGAATTAAATTCAGCTTAGTTAGACCAAATGAATTTTGTCGATATATGAAATCGTAATTTTTAATTACTAGGTATCAAGGTTCGATAAGTAAATAAATCGTTTGATTTGTGCCTAAATGATGACAAACGCAATGCGTTTCGTTACTTTATGGAATACGAACTTGCTGAGGTTTTTTTTCACGAAATTGTGCTTATGCATGCATTGAATATTAGTTTTGTGCGATGTGTGATGTGGACAACATTAAGTTGGATCATCAACAGCTGCTGCAGGAAATTACTACGTTGTTGGCAGCTAACACAGAGACAAGCGATGCTAATGCCTTGCAATTGAACCAAGAACTTCAGCGGCGCCTGGAACAGGTGCGCAGACGTATATTAAAGTTGTTGGAGACAGTGCGCGGCCGTTACAAGCGCAACGAGCAGACACTCGTACGCCGCCAGAAACCACGCTCTCACATCGTCACAGAAGATGGCGCTGAAAGCGTAAGCAAGAGCGGAGCAGTACTTCGCGGCGGAACATTTCGTTTTAAGGGCAATCTATACTTTCGCGATGTCGACGGACGTAGCTGTCCTAACAATGACGACTACGAACGACGTTGCAGCACCGAAATGTTTCCCACCGATTTCGATATGCGCTCTAAGCACGTCTGGACAGTGCTAGACAAAAAGAACGTCGTCATGGGAATTAAGCAGCAGGTATGTTCGTATAAAAGCAGGTGAAAAAGTTACTAAAGACCTATCTTTCTGGTAACAGTTGTTGGATCATGCCAGGTATCAGGCCGCAGCAGCGAATAAATCATCCAACAATATCAATGAGCGCAAACGCAAGGGCATCGATCTGCATGTTCAAACTGTGGCCAGTTTATTAGCTAATGCCGACAATAATTTCAGCATTGACTGGAATCAGATTAGCACACTGGATCTCGAGCATCGTCACTCGTCCTACAGCTGCGAGGCAATGTGGCTGGTGTACCTGCAGCCTCAGTTAAGGCGCGACGACTGGACAGCTGAGGAGGATAAAGCTTTGCTGGCCGCAGCTAAAGCCAACAAGCTACAAAACTGGCAAGCCATAGCTGGAGCAGTGAGTCAGCGATCCGACTATCAGTGCTTTGTGCGCATGCAGACAACATTGCGCTTTCACTTGGAGCCGACAAGTACGATGCGATGGAGTCATGAGGATAATGAACGTTTATGCGCCATTGTCCAGCGAAATACGGTGAATGGGTTGACCAACTGGTCGCAAGTGGTCGAACATTTCCCGGGAAGATCACGATCTACATTAATTGGACGCTATATGTATGTGCTACATCCCAGCATCAGTCACGGTATATCAAACATGATTATTTGACTTCTCACGTATTAATACATATTATTTCCAGCTCCTTTTACACCCAGCGAGGATCTTATGCTGTTCGCTGCCGTTGAGGAGTACAATGGCAAATTCAATTGTTTCCCGCGTAATTTGTTTCCCAATCGGTCGCTGGCCCAGCTTCGCACACGATATAACAATGTGCTGGCACAGCGGAATAAAACCGATCCCTGGTCCATGGATGATGACACAAAGCTAATGAGTTTTGTTACCGAGCATGGTACCTCCCAGTGGGTGAGGTGTGCCAATCATTTGGGCAATCACACACGTACCAGCTGTCGTACACGCTTCCTGGTCATCAAGCGTTTTCTTGAGCAGCATCCGGATGCGACAGTGAGTGACATTCCACGTCGGAAGATCACTAAAAATGCTCCAGTAACCGCCGAGAATTGGGCTCAGCGCTTGCAGGAATGGCAAGCTGACCCGGATTCACTGGTCATCGATCTCGCCCACAAGCCGAAACCAAAAAGACCCAAGTTTGAAACGGCCATCAATGGCAATTGTTTGATGCCATTGCGCGGCATTGACTCGCACATCTACGAGTACTTCAAGTATTCCTATAATCTGAAACTTCATGCTCCGCCAGCACCAATTCCGCTCCCATGCAACGAACGTAATCTATATGTGGTGGCCAATGCGCTACGCTACAAGCCACAAGCCAATGCTACCCAACTGGTGCAGAGCATCGCACTGAACAAGCAGTTAAATCGATGCTACAGCAAGATGATGCGTCAATTGCCCGCCATGGAGGCAAGTGAATCAGCTGCGGCCCCATTGCTGCTGCCGCCCAATTGGTCCACAATGATGGGCTTTCGTGCCATATGCATCTTGTCAGTGCATTGTCGAAATCATGCGAAAATATCGAGTGAACTGAAACCTGCCGTAAGCTATGATGAATCGCAGGCAGCAGTACAGCTATTCCGGCAACGATTACGCACTCTTTTCTATACCACCACACTGCTGAGTCGGCTGGAACCGCCTTCATTTGAACAGCTTCCCTCGGCTTTAATGGCACTGCCGCGACCAGCTGTAAGCTATGGTGCGACTAAGAAATCTGATCCGCCGACATCCACACAGCTTCAGAAGCAATCCCGTCAGAAGCACGACTCATCCAGAGACGTAAGTAGTCTGAACGCTCAAAAAATAGCCCGCCGACAAATCGAAGAACTGGACCGCATGGCACAATCGCAGAAGAGTTTTAAATCTGAGTTTAAGGATGAGCCAAATGTTAAGCAGGAACTGTCTTACGAATAAAGTTAACTCATTTCATTTTGGATTTAAATAGGTTATATAACTTATATCGTGTTTATTTGTATATATATAATAACTAACAATATGTTGCATTCCCAACAAAACTGATTATCATATGTGGGAGTAGCCCTTAAAAATGTGATACATACGTCGTATTTATGCAGTTTAGGTTCTTTAGGTACTTATTACGTTTATAGCAATAAAAGCAAGTTCTAATAACGCACGCTATTATAGGCATATATATATATATATATATATACGTAAACATTTGAGGGATCATTTTAGTTATTGGAAGTTGCTAAAGTCCGTTTTCAGCTTGATAGTCGGCTTTTGCGGCTTGGCCAGCAAACCGTTGCGCTGCGCCTCATTGGCTTTCTGGGCGAGATTAATTGACTGCTGTTGGTTACGTATGGCTGCCTCCAGTTTTTGTCGTAGGTCGGCCTTTTGACCCATCAGCGCCTTGAACTCTTGCGGATATTTGGGCCCGATCTTCAGCAGCCAGTTGAGGGATTGTTCATGCAGTTGACGCTGATATTTGGGCATCGTACGCAGCTTGCTTGCCTCGGCCAAGTAGCCAATGAGCACCGGCACCAGCAGCGTGAGCATTTGTATGTCTGTGAAGTGTACAAAAAACTATTTGTCTAAAGAAACATTCGTGAAAATCACAAAGGACAATTAACAATGCTTTTGGGTTGAGTAAACGGTTATCTGTGCGTGCTATCGATAACGATATCGACAACAGTAATCGCATGCAGTGTGTAACGACATTTAAAGCGCAATTACGGAAATTTGCTGCTACAGCTAATAACTACAACACTTTAATACATATATTTAAATTTAACATATAATTGTAACTGTTCATAGATATATTTATAATGAATACATATTGATGTGCTTTAACATTAAGAGTGCAAACAAGAAACGAGTGAATGGGCGCAGCTATTTACCTTGTAGCAAGTTTCCTAACGATTTTTTTTTTAGTTTATGTGTGAATAATGAGTGAAGCAATTAAAAGAGAAGAGACGTAGAGAAAGAGCAGAATATAATAATAAACGAACGGTACTATTTGAGGACGCTTACAAACTCTGCGCCAATTGGCAGCGCTATACAATATTTGCAAATGTACTGTAATTGGGTAGAGGAGCGCACTAGTTGCACTTTCTACAGGTCTGTTCCGAATGTTGGGAGCTTCTCTTTCGATAATGATATATTTTTCTTTTGCTATTTATTTCTAGAGTGACACGATTTTAATACTATATTGATTTTCAGCTATCCTTTGAAAATGTTATACTGAAATATTCAACCTAACCTATATCAACTTCAGGTTTAATTTAATTTTGTATAGAAAACCTTCTGTATTTTAGTTTAACTATTAACAGCTGCTGGTCAAAGTAACATTTAACCTAACAGAAATATACCTTACTATCAGTTCGGAACAGACCTGAGCTTTTATTTACCCATATAATGACTTCTACTTACGATTCTGCGGCTCGGCAAGCTCTATGAGCTGCTCCACGGTCACAATGCTTTCGAGGGTCACCTGTAGTTCCAGTTCACTGGCTGGCGTCTTGCTGGACTCGGAGTACAGCGATTCAATGATGCGAGGTGCCAGCGCATGGATGTACGGCGTGGCCGTCTTTAGGTCCGCTTTTGTGAAAATGGAACGCGTCGTCTCGATGCATTTCAATTTTACAGACAAATGCTCCGACTGCAAACACTGCCGGAAATGATTAATGCAAGGATATTGCAGCGAGGGCGCAGCCACCACAGAGGCGGGCGTGTGCAGTATGAATACAGCAATGGCCAACAACATGGTGACCTCATCTACTTTACGTTCTTCATTATCACCCGCCGTCTTGGTCATATCTATAATGGTGGCCAGTGCGCTTTGCAACAGCTGCTGCCAATCCTCTTGGGTGCTTGCCTGATGTGCCCAGCGATGGACACAGACGGAGCGCAGACACTGCAGTGCTGCCTGCACGGCACAGGTGTTAGCCAGAATGCTGCTATCGATGGCTGACTTGTTGGCTATCTCTCGCATGATGCTCGTGGTCATGTAGAGTATGGTAGGCAGTACAGTTAGAGCGCCACTGGGTGTGCACAGCTCTAGCAGTTGCTCGACGCACTGCAGACCGCTAGCCACGAGGCGACCATTGTCGTCGCCGAGCACTGAGAAGAAGGAGGCATTCTTGGCATACGCATAGTCCAGCTGAAGATTGATTTGCTTGCTAGGATTGAGGCTAGGTATTTGGCGTACGAACAAACACAGACAGACCTCTAGGACGGCATAGACATGTGAACTGCCCGGCTGCATGACGGTGCCCTCGCCCAGCTGCAGATCCTCATTTTCATTCTGATTCTCATTGGCATTGTCTGCGGGCTGCTGCTGTTGAGTGTCGCGCCTTCGTTGCAGATCCTCGCGTGCTGCTTGTATTGTTTGCTTCAATATTTCTACGCACAGCAGCTGAACGAGCAGTTCGTCGCGTGTGAGTATCTGGCGATGCAGCACATGGCATAGTTCAATGGTTAAGGCACGATCCTTGATCAGCTGCCGGCGCGCCCAGTCCGAATCGAAGATGCTATGCAGCGCACGCAAGCAGCTGACAATGTTCCGTGGCTTATCCGAGCTGCGCATGCTGCACAGTGCCTCCATGCAGATGCCAAAGATCATGTGGAAGCGGTCCGCTGAGAGAGAGCCGTGTGTAATGTGATTATTGTTAGACTCTGGCGCAGCTGCGTCGGTAGCCTCCGACTGGCTTTGTGTATCCTGATGACGGGCAAAGCCTTCGTCACGCAGCCAGAGCGCAGCTGCATACAAAATGGGCGGCCAACTGGTCATGTAGTGTGGCTTGGACGAGTTGATGGTGTCTGTGGTGTAGAAGGAACCACCGTCTCGCGGCAATTGCGATTGAAACTCGACGGGCAGTAGCAAAAGCGCATGATCCTTCATGGCGGCCAGCCAATGATTGGACAGATTATGCAGCTCCGGTTGCACCAGACCAAGCAAACTCTCACCACGGTTATCCGTATCCAGTTCAAGTCCCGTGACAAGTTCTGTGGTTGTGCCTGCTGGCGAGATGGTTAGCAGCGAGGCGGGGGCTTTACCATTGCCCAGCATGGCCACAATGTACACCTCCGCCCAGGCCTTGAGTATACTGAGCTTCTCCAGCGTTGCCATCGACTCGTTGTATAGCTGCGTGCTGTTTGTCTTCGTGTAGAGCTTGTTCAGCGAGCTGACTAACAGCTGATGCACACGTCGCAAATCGCTAATGTCGCGTGCAACACCCGATCCAATCCAGGCGGAGCAAACCTCACATGCAGCAGCAGTCACATGGGATGGCGTATCGGGCGCAAAAGCCGGACGTAGGGCAGCGCCCACCTGTGCTTGGTACTGCTCCAACAGCAAATGGCCCGGAAATTCTGGCTCGGGCACATTTGCAAATCGATCTATGATTTCCTGCAAAGTGCGCAGGCCCTCTAGCCGCAGTTGATCCGAATCTGAGGTGGCGGCCATAAAGGACATGCGTATGAGCTCCGCCAAATGGAGTATGAGATAATCGCCGCTACGCGACTTGATCAGCTGTTGTTCCTTGGCCTGCAGCAGATCAAAATGCAGGGCATTTGCTGCCTCACAACTGGCAATGATGCGACGGACACATTGAGCGGCAAAGACTCGAGTGGGCCAACGTGGCTGCACAGCTGGATGCGTGGAGGTATTTTCCTCGGCACGATATTCGGTAACATCGTCGGCATACTCCTCCTCTTCGTCATCGTCGTCGTCCGTTTGCTGTGCCTCGCCTGTGCCGGATTTGCTGCCGGCATCAGTGGAGCCGGTCAGCGCCGCTTGTTCTTCATTAGAGCTACCACTCTCAACGGCCACAGTGAGAACCTTCTTGCAAAGACTAAGCCAGTTGCTTAGATTGTCCGCAGCCAGCATTTGTAGCATTGAAGTCAACGTGTCGTGTATGTTCTTAAGCATTTCCGCATCCGTTTCCGTGTCAAGCATCGAGAAGAGTAGTCCGGGCAGACCATATTCCGTAATAACTAAATCCGGGCATTGTTCCGGTGTAATGGTTAGGGCCAGCTCGCACACCTCACGCGCCTCGCGATGCGCCAGCTGACGCAGACAGGCGACAGCGGCTTTTCGGAGTATGAAATAATTACTGGCCAGCATCTTGACCAGGGTCGGTACGAGCGTATCCAGCTGCAAAGATTTGCAGGCAAACAGATGCAGTTGCTGCAGGCAGCCAATTGCTTCGGCTTGCACCAAGGGATCTGCATGCGATTGCAGCAGTGCTGCAGCGCACAGGAAGGAACTGCGCATTGCGACCACGGCCGTGTTGTTGCCTTGGAGTTCCGGTCCCACAGTGGTGATTAATGCGTTGACCACTCGGCCTACACACTGGTGCACATCCACATGAGCATGCGGCACGCTGAGTAGCAGCTTCAGCGAGAGCGTCAATGTGGGCTCCACATAGCCACGAAACATGGGACCGCCGGAGTCGGCAATCTGTGCCAGTGCATAGAGCGACCAGACTTGTACCACAGGCGACGCGCTGTCCTGACCCAAGGCGAGCAATATGGAGACACTGGTGCTCAGATGTTGTGAGCTGCCCATGCCGCCAACATAGCGATGCAGGCAGCCCAGGGCATGCGAGTGTCCTGTGCGAGTGACCACATCTCGCGCCGACTTCAGTTTGTCGAAGCTGTTCTGTGCCAGCTCAGCGGTGAAATGAGAATCGGCCACAACCTGGGCCAAGCGACCCAGAGCTTCTCCAGCTGCGCAACGTATGGTTGAATTGGAACTGGTCAACGAAGCTACAATCAGACTGGTGGCGCTTTTCTTGACATCCTCTTGGCCAAGGCTCGTCTTGCTGTCAGTCAGTTGTTTTAGCGCATACAGCAGAGCCGTGAAGATGTTCATCTGAACCGCCTCCTGACGATTGCTCTTCGCCTGCTTGATACACTCGGCGAAATGGTCGAGCATTTGTAAGCGGTGCTTGTTCGCTACCTTAGGGAATATAGTGCCATACAAGGTGACGGACATATCAATGACGGCCACACCCAGAGGCAAAGGACCAGGACATTGCTGCGCCTTGTTGATCAACTGTATATTGCTGTTGTTGTTATTGCTTGCAGAGCTCGTATTGGAGCTGGCATTGCTGCTGTGCTGGGCGGACCAATTGGGACGATACAGACAGCAAGGATCGTGCTCCAAAGCACCGGACCCAGCGGCGCTATTCGGCTGAAGCTGCGTGACGAGAGTAGGAAAATACTTAGTAAATTCAATTGTTGTTCAATTCTGTATCGAAATCTAAGAAACTAATATGTTTAAAAGTAACGAGTAAGAAGCAAGAGAGAGAGAGATTTATCGTAAAATAGATTTTTTTTATAATGAGTCAAAGGTAGAAATTATCAGCAGTAACTCAGCTAACTGCGTTGAACTCAAAGAATAAGTTTATTCCTAACAAGTGCAACAATGAACCAATAGCGAATCACAAATAAGAAAACATTAAGCTCTTAATTTTTTGCAACAAATATCGAAAGTTAGAGCCATTCGCTCGTATGTAATGAACCAAATTATTGATCATGCAAACCAAAATCATCAACGAAATTGAATCTTTTCATATGAGTTCACAGAGGACAACACTTACATGCTCGCCATCGACTTTGCGATTGGGCTCCATCTGGTTAAACGAATTGAATCGTTATCAATAATGCATATATAGATTGAGGGAATAGTTAAAGAGGTAGAAGATAGTATCGGTTATACGCTTACAGATCTAAGAGAAACCACCCAGGGCACAGCTCAATGGAACGCTCAAGTTTGGCACATACCTGATCCTCGATGGTGCGATGATTTGTTTCCTGTAGCCAAGTGCCCAAAATGATGGAATCATCGCCATGGCAAAGTGTGCGCAGCAGAGAGTTCGTCGTATTGGCAGCATTATCCGACAAAGTAAACTCCGACACGAGCATGCGTAGCAGATGCGTATAGGAAGCTTCCAGAGCTGTGGGCGGCAGAAGTGTCAAGGCTTCAAAGAGACGTAGACGTACCATAGCAGCGGGCGCCTTCAGCTGGGTTCCATAGCTCTTCAAGACAGTGGCCAGGCTGAAGGACGAATAAAACAATGAGAATTGACGCAAACGGTAGACCACCTTGACTTACTTGACCAGCATGGCGAGGGCGCTCTCGATGGGCGTGAGCAAACGCCGCGTAATGTCCTCACTGACCAGATCTGGGCAATTTAGCAGAAAACTGTGCATGACTGACAGGGCGCCGGCGCGTCCCTCAAGTGTCACCTGCCAGGTGAACGCATCACCGCGTGCCTTCTCCGATTCGAGTTCCTTGTTCGAGCGCGGAAAGGAGTTGCGCCAAAGCAACAGCATGCGTGGTAAAAGACCTTTGACCACCGGCGAGCCGAGCGTCATGATGGCGCCAATTAGTAGCCAGCCAGCTTGGGTGCGATGCAGCGACATGCGGCTATTCTGGGAAGCGGAGCGCAGCAGCTCCTCGGCACAATTGAACACCACCTTGCCCTTGGTGTGTGGTATGCCCAAGGGGGAGTGGCGTGCGCTACCCAAAATGGCCGCCAAGGCGCAGCTGTAGCCGGCAATGGCCTCTGGCGAGGATCGCATCTGTTCAATGGCGTCAATGAAACGATCGATAAGCGGCGTAATCTGGCTGGGCACTGCAATGCAACAGCTGCGCAGGCACCATGCAGCAGCCAAACGTGCCGCGGCACATGGATGCACAAGCACCGCACACGTTGCATCGATAGCATTCAGAGATTGATCTGTCAGGAGATTCTGTGCTGTTGTGCCTAGTCCAATAAACAGGGAGCTTAGCTCCTGCAGGGCACACACTAGCAAATGCTGACTGAAGAGTGTCTCCTGGTTTGAGTCCTTGGCATTCTCTGGATTAAAATCAATTGAGTTCATTTGCTTGGCCACCAGATGAATGAGCTCCTTGCAGGCGGCGCTTTGCGCCTTCTCGCCCAGCATCTTGCCAATGGTAGAGCGCAATATGAAGTTGATGCACTTGCGGGAATAGACTGCATCCACATGCGAACAAGCTGCCTTCGGATTTGCCACCAGATCCAGCACATGAGCTAGAAATGTGCTCAACTGGCGCTCCAGCCAAACACTGCCCATGAACTGCACGAACACCACATAGGCATGGGTTACTCCAACGCGCACCTCACGATTGACGCCCGAGCTGCCCTTGATGATTTCACCAGTTCCTTTAAGGAATGAAGCGCCACCACGCAAAAATCCGGACATGAGTATGCCCAGCGCTTCGTCCAATGAGACCAATCGTAAGGCGCCACCTTTTGCCGCTTGCAATGCGATGACCACCTGAGCTTGAGCGGATTTCTTGTTACCCGCCGCCTCGGCCAGCTGTTGCGTGTAGGCGAGCAGTGTGCCCAACAACTGGGCAACGGCGCAGCGTACCTCATAGTTGCTGCCATCAAATGCGCGAAAGCACAACGTGCCAAGATTCTCCAGTTCCGTTTGGTACAGGAACGGCGCGCTGTAGATCATCTTGAGTATACAGCGAGAGGCTGCTACGCGCACGGCCATAACGCGATCCAACAGGCAATGTTTGGCGGCTTTGTAGATGTCCTTGTGCACGTTGGCAATGGCGGTACCCATGCCAGCACTCACCTTCTCAAGCGTGTGCATTATTTCGATGCGTGCCTGCGACTCAGCGTTGCGTAGCGTTCGTATGAGGATCTGGACAGTGTCCTCGTACGTTCGCCCCATCATGCGACCCAGTTTTTCATACATGGAGCCCAGCACGCAAATTGCGGCGCTGCAGAAGAGGAAAAAATGTGAGCTGATTGGAATTTGGATCGGAACGCATTACTTACAGTTTTGTGGGTAAATAGCTGGGCGAGTCATCCTTGTTCTTCAGTATATCATTGCAGGCATTGACCGTATCGAAGAGCATGAAGGTGTCGCCCACGGAAAAGAGCGTGGCCAATGCACTGGCTATAAGCTTGCGCATAGGCGGACCCGGTGCCCCTTGAATGCGCTCCGAGAGCTGCTGCACAAGTTTCTTTTGTCCCGCCTTGATCTCATGTTTGGGCATATGCGGCAGCGACTTCTCCAGATAACGCAGCCATTCCAGCTCGAAAACTGCACGCTTATGTTCCGGAAGCAGTTTCACTGCCTCCTCGTTGAGAGTCAAGCTGTGGGCGAGTTCCATTTCGTCGCGTGGCGTCGTTGTGTCCTCAGTTGCCTTACCAGCTGTGGTGTCGTCACTGTTTATAAATGATCTGCAATGCGAATGGAATTTTTCGAATTAATTAAAGTATACATATACATATGTGTGATTATGAGTGTGTACATATGGCGTGGGAATGATGATAAACAGCCGTTGATCTCATTTCAAGTAGGTTCTTCTAATTGTCGACAAGAGCTGATCAATAAACTAGTGACTGTGACTGAGTCACTGTGATTGACAGATCATGGTGATTTAAGGCTGAACATAGCAGCCACAGTTAGGCTAATATTTGTTTTTTAACCAACTTATTGCCTTAAACATTTCCATTCCTATCAACTATAAAAACTTTGATAAATTTAAAATACACAGCCCACTCTCATTCAATTAGCCACTCAAAAATTTCGACATATGTGCGATCAATTCTCATTTGATACTTATCGATAAATTGCAGTTACTGTTATTGACCTTGGGTTTGCCATTTGTTATGTTAGGTAAAATCTTGCAGGAAGGTCACACTGTTCGCACTATGTCCAATTGAATAAATTTATGCATCACCAGAGCTAAATAAATGCGATGAGTCTCGCCTAACATTATATTATACAAAAACCATAAAGGGAAGCTGTATATGTATACAATGATAAGTGCGCTCTGTCGCCTTGGGCGCGATAAAAAGCAACTGTTGACATACATACAATATGTGTTCATGTATGTAGCCCACATCCAACATAGGCGCACACACACGCATACAAAGTAAAAGTCAAGAGGAGCCAAATCCTACATAAAGAGGGTGTCGGCCCAAAACAAAGACATAGAACGGTAACCCCTTTGTCTTGTTCTGCACAAAATTATGAGCGCACCGGTTGTGGGGCAATGGTTATGGCAATGGCAACTTGCAATACAATGGGGCTAATGGTTTAAGGACTGCTTTTGTTCCAGTATGTTGCATATACCAAATAATGAGAAGAAAAAATCAAAGCAATTGACGTCGCCAGGCTCGGGTTACATAAGACGCCTTGCAACTGTAATATGGTTTGGGGGTCGTGTGGCTGGCGTCCGTCGAGCGTAAAAGTAACCAAGTAAAGCCTGTAAGGTGCAGCAGGAGAATGCAAACACTAAGAAGGAAAACAAAAACCACATAGAACTGCATCACAGACAATTGCCAATCTTCCCACTCACACACAGACACAGCCACCCCATTTTATCCCGTTACTCGTTGCCCACAAGCGGCAGTCGCTTTGTCTCTGATACGGTTGTTGTTGTTGTTGTTGGTAGTGGTGGGTTTTCTTTGTTGTTGTGTGTTGTGAGCAATTTTATTTACCTGCGCGCCTCGTTGATGACTTTGCGCAGAAATTGCGGCGTGCGTGCAAAGTTTAAGTTTTCCATTGTGCAATTTACAACTTTGATTTACAAAGGAAAAACTTTCTTTTTGCCAATTATTGTGAGCAGCGGTGCCGCCACCGCTTGCAACTTTCACACAAATCGATAAGTTTTTTCCATGCCACAAATATAATTTAACACAGAACTGCTATATTCAATTATATTAATTTGATTTTCCTTTATAAAGTTATTAACTAAGTTTAATGTTAGTTTGTTCTTTCTAATTGGCTGCTCAATAATTAAAGAAATGTTACACTATACGCTGTGAGTTAATTGGAACCAACAACGCGAGAAACAGCACTTGCTACACGCTCCAAATACAAACGGCAACTGGAAGCAGGCAGCAGCAGCAGAGAGCCGCAAAGTCAACGTCAACCACAACACCGCCTAAGCGTTACAACTCAGGGAAAGAGACATTTAAAGAGAGAGTTGCGATATTTTGAGCGTTATTGCGAGAAGTGTTTTGATGCTTTTTAATTGTATGCCCTGTATGGAATTTGCAGTATAAATATATTATATTTTCAATTGTATAGTTCCAACATTTCATTTTATGGCATAACATTAAACATTTGTGACGTCATGAGATCAGATTTCATGCGTTACCTCTCAATCACGTTAAGCATGGCAACGACGTGTCGTGGACTGCATGCTAAATTAAAAGAAAACAAAGAGAGGGAGAGAGAAATAAGAGAGAGCGTATATGTGGCTCTCTTGCGCTTGTAGATTTTATTGATGTCACAGCTGTTGATAGCCGCCATATGTGCAACAAATTGGCCACTCGTTATCGATAACTCACACAAACAAACATATCGAAAACAGTGGGCGGGCTACTAAAACTGTGTCAATGTGTCAAATGCCCGATTTAAAATGAATATTTTATGAATTACGATTTATTAAGTGCTCGATAAATGGACAAAACACTTTAGATCTAGGGCAAAAACTGCATGCTGGGTATATAGATGAGCGCCTTGGACGTGGCGCTATTCGGATTGCCCAGATCCTTTAGAATGCCCTGTACACGAGCCACCACATCACTGCGCTGTATATCGCCACGGTCTAGCATACGTTGGAACAGTGTGTGCAACTGCCGTGACGACGATGCATTCGAGAGCTCGAATAGCTGCTGCAGCAACTCCTCGGAGTAGCCCTCATATTTGCTTAGATTCGCCGCCTTCGCGTCTCGTTTCAGCAAATCGTAGACGAGCAGAAAGTCCACATAGGGCTTAGTGGGCGGCACACGTTTTTTGCCCGCTGTTGATGTGCTGCTCCACCGATCCATGGCCGACTCAAAATCAAAAGCGGCACGCCCATAATTATCATCATAGAGGCGTAGAAAGTTATCCAACGATTCCACATCGTTGGTAAAGTCATCGTGTAGCGCCTCCGTCTGTATATCACGGATCAACGACAGCGGCAACCTATCAAAGTCTGAATCATCATTGATCTCGTCGAACAGCGCTTGACCTTCCAGTGGTGTGGGCAAGACACGCTTCATTGCATTTGGTGCATAGAGCGCCGGACCATGTGGTGGGGTTGGCGTTGCTGTCGGTCGTGCGGTGGTTGTCGTACGCTGTGGTGTCTCCCACCAACTTGGGGGTTGCCACCAGCCGGTGGTGCTGCCCGTGCTACCTGTCGGTCGACGCGTTGTACTGCTGGGTCTATTAACATTAGGAGGTGCAACTGTTGGCTTTGAGCCAGAGCTGGAGCTCGCTGGTGGAGTCAGCGGCGAGGTGCTCGACTCCTGTTGACCATCGGCACTGAATGGTGGCTCCGCTGTGGTGCTGGACAACGGCTCGTATTGGAGCAGATCAATGTAGTAGGCCAGGGCCTGCATGGAGGCGGGCAAATAGCTGTTCAGCAGATTGGCAGGCTGGCCGGGCGAAAGCAGCCCAAACAGCAGCAGCATCCACAAATGTATCCGCTTTAAGCAACTGCGCATTTTTACGAAAGTTTTTTTTGTTAGTTTTTCGGATTTGTAGTCGGGGTTTTTCGAGCGATTTGCGCGGCAGAGAGACAGTTTGGTAACTGAAAGTTTGCAGACGACAGCCAGCAAGAATCTTCATGAGACAAGCTGGTTTTACGAATTGGATGCTCAGTTGAAACTTTGCTAATACCCTGTATTAAAAGCAATAACAAAACAAGCTTGCTAACTTTCAGTACAATTCTGAAATTATGGTATATTTGGTATATAAATAAAGCACATAAATTTGTAAGAATTTTAAAGCTTTGGTTTTTAATATTTATTCAGCAATTTAAAATAGAAATATATCTATTAAAATCATACCAGGGAAATATGACTCAACAATATTTGAAAAATGTATTCAAAATTTTAGAAAACTAAAAATCATGATTCGACAATTTCAGTATGTATTTTGATAAATTAAAAATGTTTTTACTATCTTACATAACCTTCTGCGACAGCTGTTAAATACTCTTGTAGCGGATGTTAACCGCGTGCAGGGTATTTTTAAGTCGTTCATAGCGAACTTTATTGAGCTTTTTTATTGGGCAAACTTGTTAAACAGAGGCCAGCGACCGCATTTGTGTTGCGTCAAAATTGTGTTTTTTTTTGGTAATCGCCGTTGTCCTCACGCTTTGTTCTTGGAAAGAGTGAAAGATTTTGGAGTGTGTACCATAACCAGTTTGGACATGGGCGAAGGCAGCACTTAAATATTCATAAGCCGCAAAAATATAAACCTGAATATGTGTTCTTTATTTTTATTTTTTATTTTTTGGCAAATCAAATCGAGTCAGCAAGAACGCATTACATCAAAATGCAGTTTGAGTAGAACTGCATGGTTGAGGAGCAATTGATAAATTTATATGCATTGGTTATCGATCAGGTTAATCGAGAGCAGAGCCAACAGCAATCGCAGCTGTTGTATGGTAACGAGAGAGCATCAGGTGAGAGCAACACGACACAAACCTGTTGAGGCCCACGCCTTTTTTGTTGCTGCTTTTGTGTTCTAGGCTGTGTTTTCGCTTTCTCAACAAACAACAACTTATATTGGGACAAGGTAAACAGGCCAATAGCAGTCAATAAACCGGCGAAACATAACGGTTAGGCGTGCTGACACCAAATTATATATAATTATGCAGGGAATATTAGCACAGATAATTTTCAACGGCTTAACGTTTCTTAACATTAGTGCAGTGACAAAAAAAAAAAAACTATAATTAACGCTGCCGTGTCGTGTTGTCAGCGGAGCACCCATTGTCATATACACACACGCATTCAATAACACACACGTTGAGTGCATGCACAAATGTTTGTTTAACACTCAATTAATTTGTAAATCGTAAGGCACTTACCGTTTCACAGTATTCTGAATCTTTGGTATAGTTAAATTGCCACTATCACATGTTTAATGCTTTTAATTTATATAAATAAATACAATTTTCACTGAATTTTAAGCAGATACCACTACGCGTTGATTTGTGTTTGTGTATGCGTCAAATCGATAACTAGCCCAAAAATCGTTGGTAAGCTAAGCGATAGTAAACACGACCTATTCCATTTGGACAGCTGTTTCATTGCATAGATATCGATAACAAATGATTGCACGTGTTGTAATGTTTGGATTTGTTTAATACTTATAATTTCTAATTTTTATTGCACTTAAATTATTTCACAGAAAAAAAGATGGCGCGCAGACCAGAGCATTCGGCCCCGCCAGAGATCGTAAGTGAGTCGATTATCAAAAATCATATTTATATCCATTTATTATGTTGTGCAGTTCTACAACGACGATGAGGCCAAAAAATATTCTACAAAGTAAGTTTTCAATGCTTTCTTTATAAATATTCCCTTTGTTTATTTTTATATTTACTAGTACCCGTATTATCGAAATCCAAGTGGAAATGGCGGAGCGTGCACTTGAACTACTGGCAATACCGGATGATGATGAACCACGGCTTATTTTGGATATTGGTTGCGGCTCTGGCCTCTCAGGCAGCGTGCTTGAGGACTGCGATCATATATGGGTCGGCATTGACATATCAAAATCAATGCTGGATATTGCTGTTGAGCGTGAAGTAGCCGGAGATGTTATTTTGGGTGATATGGGCGAGGGCATGCCTTTTAAACCTGGTACTTTTGATGGAGCGATATCCATATCGGCGCTACAATGGCTCTGCAACGCGGACAAATCCTATCACAATCCACACAAGCGCCTGTTAAAATTCTTTACCACATTGTTCTCTTGCTTGACGCGGACAGCGCGTGCTGTCTTTCAGTTTTATCCTGAGAATTCAGACCAAATTGAAATGATCACCGCGCAGGCGATGAAGGCGGGCTTCTATGGCGGCCTCGTGGTCGACTATCCCAACTCGGCCAAAGCCAAGAAATACTATTTGGTGCTGATGACGGGAGGCGCAGCAGAACTGCCGAAGGCCTTGGGTAAGTCTGAACTTCAAACTAAATAATTATTTTTTAATTTGTATCTTTTTGTCAGGATCGGCTGAGGAGGAGCGCCGTATTAACTACATCAAGAAGCGCGATGCATGTCGTGATGCGCGTGGCAAGGCGCCGAAAAAGTCACGTGACTGGATACTGGCTAAGAAAGAGCGGCGACGTCGCCAAGGCCTCGAGACGCGTCCAGACACCAAGTACACAGCACGTAAGCGCAGCGGGCGCTTCTGAGTATTGTTAAATACACGTCTTAATATAAACTTTGTGTTTTTATTTCACACAGATTTAAATCATTCTTAAATTATTCTAGACACCGTTATTAACTATTTTATTCACTGTCTGTTGTTTTTGCTATTGGAGTTGACCTCATTTTCTGATCTTGCTTGTGACGTTCTTCTGCTCTACTCTTTGGGTTATCATAGGAGCTCTCTGCCACAAACACCAGGTACACAGCTATACTTGCAAATAGAAATGCAAACATAACTAGATCGTTTTCAACAGAAATTCTTTTGGTTTCCTTCTGTTTGACAAAACGTTCGTGTTTCGCCTGCGCCACCTGACGTCTATCAAAGTTTTTTCCATAGTGAGCCCGACTCCATTCATCAAAATCGTAGATGGGCGTGCGCCCCGCAGCATCAGTAACTTTCGACTTCTTGAAGCGTGACTTATAGAACTTAGTTTGCGCATCATCCTCCTCGAACTCTAAATCCTGTCCCACATCGCGTACATCCTGCGCGTGCTGGGGACCAGCTGTATGTACAATTCCTTTGTCATATAGACGACGCAACCGATAATTGCCAAGCACTTCGTAGGCCTGGGTGATCTCACGAAACTTCTTAGCAGCACTTTCGCTGCCCTTGTTGCGATCCGGATGGTAGAGCATGGACAGCTTATAATATGCTGCTTTTATTTCGGTCTGTGTAGAGCTTTTACCGATGCCCAATGCCTCGTAGTGGCTCAGTTGCCATTGGGCGTTTGTTGTATGTAGACATCGAGCTAGAAGTCGGCTGAGTAGCTGACCATTCTGCAACATTGCTCGTAGAATTTCCTAAGTGCACAATAAAGCTTGTTATTTGTTATATCACATTCTGTTGGCGAGCCAAACAAATAAACAGCTGCACCTGAACTTGAAAACACACCAATCGATTAACGATAAAGTGATGCGATCAGCTGTTTTGACTCCGACAACAGCTGAATGGCAATTTGAAAATTGTTGTGACCGCAAGTTCGTTTTTTTTTTTTTTGGTTTTTCTTTTTTGACGTTATTTATATATAGAACATACCAGCGATTGCTTGAAAATTTGAGCACAGCGTGCTTGTTTTTCACGTTTGCATGTGTGTGATTGTGTGTGTGTGTGCGATCGAGAAGTTTCTGCAGCAATTGATTTAAAGCCAAACGGTAGAAAAGAAGCACAAAACAGCCAAAAATCGTGAGTCACTCGCATCGCAAGTGAAGCATTTGTACTACTCGCAACTAAAATAAAGGTTTTTCATTTAGAACAATTGTATAATCATGACCACTGAAGACACCGTTGCTGCCAACGCCGCCAATAGCGCTGGCGCTGACGCTATTAGTCATAAGGATAAAGGTAATGAAGCCTTCAAGGCGTCCAAATGGTCGGATGCAGTGCAAGAATACAGCGCTGCCATTAAGCTTGGCGATAAACACAAGGAGTTGTCCGTATTCTATAAGAACCGTGCTGCTGCCTATTTAAAGCTAGAGAAATACACAGAGGCCATAGAAGATTGCACAGAGTCGCTACGCCTGGCACCCAACGATCCCAAAGCCTTATTTCGTCGCGCTCAGGCCTATGAAGCATTGAACAAATCCGAGGAAGCCTATAAGGATGCTACGGCGCTATTCAAAGCTGATCCAGGCAACAAATCTGTGCAGCCCATGTTGCAGCGCTTGCATCTGATTGTACAAGAGAATATGGCGCGCAATGCCAAAACTTCAACTAAGGTGAAGCAAATGATGGAGCTTGCTTTTGACATTACAGTACCCATTGAAAAGCGACGCTCGGGCGCGAATAATCTGGTGGTCTTGGCCAAAGAGCCCGCAGGCGCCGATTTGTTGTATAAGGAGCAGTGTGTGCCAAAGATAGCCACTCTTGCAAAGGTCGAGAAGGACGAGCAGATCTATTTGAATATGGTGCGTGTGGTGGCCTCGTTGTGCGAGAACAGTGTGGAGCGCACTAAAGGCGTTCTAACCGAACTAGGTATACCATGGTTTATGCGCGTGCTCGACCAGAAGCATGAGGATTGCGTGAGCACTGCACAGTTTTGCCTACAGACCATCATTAATGCGCTGTCTGGCCTGAAGAACAAGCCCGATGCGAAGCCGAACAAGGAACTATGCGAAAAGCATAGTCGTGAAATTGATACGCTGCTCACGTGCCTGGTTTATAGCATCACGGATCGCACGATATCGGGCAAGGCGCGTGATGCTGTTATTGAGCTGCTCACACGCAATGTCCACTACACGGCGCTGCAATGGGCGGAGCGTTTAGTAGAGATACGTGGCCTGTGCCGCCTGCTAGAGGTGTGCTCAGAGCTCCAGGACTACAAATATGAAAGTGCTATGGATATAACAGGCTCTTCGAGTACTATTGCTTCGGTATGTCTGGCCCGCATTTATGAGAACATGTACTACGATGAGGCCAAGCAACGTTTTACGGAGCAAATTGATGAGTTTGTCAAGGATAAGCTGCTCTCGCCTGACATGGAGTCCAAGGTGCGCGTAACTGTGGCCATCACAGCACTTCTTAATGGTCCACTCGACGTGGGTAATCAAGTGGTAGCCAGAGATGGTACGTATATTAATACTTTTACGATTTTCTTTCATATATTTACCGGTAAATTCCGTTTTGTAGGCATTCTGCAAATGATCTTGGCCATGGCCACGACAGATGATTTGCTGCAGCAGCGCGTGGCCTGCGAGTGTCTTATAGCGGCTTCCTCAAAGAAGGACAAGGCCAAGGCTCTGTGTGAACAGGGCGTCGAAATCCTGAAAGGTCTATATCACTCCAAGAATGATGGAATACGTGTGCGCGCCTTGGTGGGTTTGTGCAAGTTGGGTAGCTATGGTGGTCAGGATGCAGCTATAAGACCATTTGGCGATGGCGCCGCTCTAAAACTTGCCGAGGCTTGTCGTCGGTTTTTGATCAAGCCGGGCAAGGATAAGGACATACGCCGCTGGGCAGCCGATGGCTTAGCCTATCTGACGCTTGATGCAGAGTGCAAAGAGAAGCTTATCGAGGACAATGCTTCCATACATGCGCTCATGGATTTAGCGCGTGCTGGCGATCAGTCGTGTTTATACGGTGTCGTCACTACCTTTGTGAATCTGTGCAATGCATATGAAAAACAGGAGCTGGTCCCCGAAATGATTGAGCTGGCCAAGTTTGCCAAACATCATATACCGGAGGAGCACGAGTTGGACGATGTGGATTTCGTGAACAAACGTATAACTGTCCTGGCCAATGAGGGCATTACCACGGCGCTTTGCGCTTTGTCCAAGACGGAGAGTCACAACTCCCAGGAACTTATTGCACGTGTGCTTAATGCCGTCTGCGGTTTGCAGGAGCTACGCGGCAAGGTGGTTCAGGATGGTGGTGTTAAGGCGCTGCTTCGAATGGCTTTGGAGGGTACCGAAAAGGGAAAACGGCATGCTAGCCAAGCGCTTGCTCGTATCGGCATTACCATTAACCCGGAGGTGGCATTCAGCGGTCAGCGTTCGCTCGATGTCATACGGCCGTTGTTGAATCTATTGGCGCAGGACTGTACGGCTCTAGAGAACTTTGAGTCACTGATGGCGCTTACCAATTTGGCCAGCATGAATGAGAGTGTGCGTCAGCGCATCATCAAGGAGCAGGGCGTCTCCAAGATTGAGTTCTATTTGATGGAGGATCACTTGTACCTCACACGTGCGGCGGCTCAGTGTCTTTGCAATCTGATCATGTCGGAGGATGTGGTGAAAATGTTTGAGGGCGAGAACGATCGTGTGAAGTTTTTGGCACTACTCTGCGAGGACGAGGACGAGGAAACGGCCATGGCGTGCTCTGGTGCTTTGGCCATGCTCACCTCCGTCTCCAACAAGTGCTGCTCCAAAATTCTGGACATTTCCAGCTGGTTGAATATATTGCACACTCTTATTGCTAATCCAAGTCCAGCCGTTCAGCATCGCGGCGTTGTTGTCATACTTAATATGATTAATGCGGGCTCTGAGATTGCTAAGAAATTATTCGACACCGATATTATGGAGCTGCTGAGTGGCCTTAGCCAGCTGCCCGGCGAGGAGCGTGCCAAGGCTCGTGAGGTGGCCACCCAATGCTTGTCAGCTGCAGAACGACATCGCATCATCGAACGTTCCGATGATGCAGAGATACCGGACGTGTTTGCCGAGAGTGCCAAAATCACCGAAATCTTGGACGATGATTAAATTGTGTAAAGTTTCGATTTAGTTTCTAGACCCTGCACTCTTTCATCTAACACTTCATCAGCGAGTTGTGGCTCACTGAGTCATTTAATTTATTTTCAAATCACTTATCAAATCTGTACTTAAGCCTAAAGTGTTTTTTATATTGTACGAATTTATAATAAATTCATTAAATTGTTTCGTTTAAAATGTTTAATGTTTCCTTTTTAATTTTCATGATTCTGTTTTTCAGCTTAATATATAATATGTATTTGCCATACATGCGAAGCGCAATCGAGTCTGAAATTTGAAAACAATTTTTGGGCCGGCACTCAGTAAATATTGTTGAAGCACTTTACACTGCGCAGCAAATTTTTGGTTTTCTTTTTTTGGCTTCATTGAGCAACGGCAGCTGCGTGGGCACCCGTTTTGGGGCAGTCAACTGTTTTAATTTGATTTAATATAGTCCCCGCCTGGCCCCTGCTCTCAAAATACATATATTATATGCAGTTAAGGACTTGTTGCGCATTTCATGCATTGTTAATGTCTGTAAGTCGTATAGCCATGAATCCAACGATCCATGTGAGTTCAGTTTGAATTGAGCTGAGAGCTGTTTAAGATATTTTCCCACATTGCAGCCGACTGCCTGGCTGACTTACCGACTATCGGACTATCTTTCTGGTATTCATTCCAACACTTAAACTGACATTAGCCAGCCGACTCGGAAGAACTTCTAATGCAGAAATAATTGCAGTAGCTGTGATGCTGCCACCGACGGTAGCTGCAACTGGCAACTGGCAACTGTCGACTGGCAGCGGGCTCTCAACTCACTCTCTTGGCACTTGGTTGGTTCTTTTCAAATTGCTCAATTTCAATGAAATATTATTAAATAAATTAATGTAGCGTTAATTCATTTTGCTTTTCAAAAGAAAATAGCTGTAGATATCTAGCTACCTGCTGCGCTGCTGCAGCTCATCTCAAACTAAATTCCCAATCTGGGCATTAAGTTGTTAGCTCAACTTGGGCTTAACGGCACTTGGCCATTGTATACTATATATATATATAGCCTATAGGCTTATATGACTTGGCACTCGGCCACACAGTGCCTGTCAACGGGAGTAGTTTGAGAGATTGGCAGACAGGTGCCGCAATAACCCAATTGGGCCTTTTGTTTGGCTGGAAGCCCTGTGACAATTGATGGACTTGATATGCTCCTCTAGGCATGCCGCACAATGCAAATGAAAGTGCAGCACACTAACCACAAATTGTGGCACGTATCTCAACAACAGACTGTCATATCTGGGCTATGTGCTGCACTCTACATATAGCTGCCGTTTAAGCACACAATGAAGTCTTAAAGAGTTCAGTCAGCTTATGCAGATTCAATTACGATCCAATTACATTCTTCATTATGATTTTAATCATAAAAGGAATTGAGTCGTAACTGATTATGCCTAAGCAGCCTCTAAGACATCTTGAAGAAAGAAATAGTTAAATTTTGATAGGTAATTTTAAATGTAAACTGTATGAAGCAGGTGATAGCTCCTGATAGACGAATGTATATATAATAGCAATCTAATTAACTAACTGTATATATTTTATATAAGAAAGTTACTTGTGAGCTAGTCCTATTGCTCAAGGCATACTTTATATAATATTAGAGATTCCCTTCTAATCCACTTCTATACTCCTTTCTTATCTCATTCTCTTTTTCTACCCTGTATATATCAAGTCTTACATAACACTTTATCTTTATTTCACAAAATTTGAATGTTTTTACTTACATCTGCTTTATACACCATCTCTACTGATATATTTCCATTCTGGAGGGGGCTTTGCTACTTGCATTGTAGATTTCCGCTTGAGATCGTTGAGATATTTCGCCCCTCCATATGTCAGTGCACCCAGGCAACGTGTCATTCTCGTCTAAACGGACTGCATTCCGCGATAATCAGCATGTGCTTGCTGGCTGGCGGCGGTAATGAAGAGTGAAACCGATCGCAGACGCTGTGATATCAGCGCCCAGTTCCATAACGATCTTACATCAATTGAGCGTTCCGTCCGATCGATGGCCGGACCACTTGCACTTTTGGAAATGCATTCTACGCGAACAACTTTCATCATGGTCTGGGCCACACTTTCTGGACGGTCTCAACGGCTTGGCAGTCGTTCGCCCCGGGGCCCGGCCAGACGTCCAGCATCGACGTCAGCTTTGGCTCTGTAATTTGCATATTTTCCGCATCGCGCAGACGCGGCGCAGTTTATTAAACAAAATATTGACATGAAAATCGGCTTTCGATTTTTCATGCGGAGCGTGCGACAAATTGTGCGTCGGAGCTACACAAAACAAAAATAAGAAAACGAGATTAAATGGAAAGTGAAGCTGCGCTGCGCTGCGCAACTACGAAGCGCTCAGTGAGGCCACCTCTCAATATACTTTTGTACATATATACAGTGCCTATGTATGTCTTAGCCTGTCTCGGTTTGTCTGCGTAATTAGGACAAAATGTCTAGTAGTTGACCAAGCCAAAAAGTGAATACGACTCCAGCGTCTGGTTTCGACTTATATTTATTTCTTCTTCTTCTTTTTTTGTTGGCTTACGCACTTAATGATCATTAACAGCTAAATGTAACTGGCTTATGATCTCTGTTGTTGTTGGACTTAAGCCGATGCATTTGGCCAGTTGCACGCAACTTTTACTCAGGTGGAAAGTTCTTCTGTCAACGCTTTGATTTGATTAGCGGCAGATGCGGAGAGCGACTGTTGAGCCGAGAGGGTATTGTGCGAGGGAGATCTGGAGATCGACTTTTGAAGAAAGTCGCAACACTTCGCTGAAACCGAAAGTTAAGACAACTAAGTGCCCAAGTCAATATGCTCAAGTGAAAAACGAAAGATCGGAAGTGGGCAGCGGGAAAATTGTGCGATAGCTGGAAAATCTATTGATTGATAAATGTATTTATTGAATTATTAACGAGCTGTCACTGTGTCTGGTGGGTGTCGTTAATCAGATTTGGGTTTCCATTTGGTCAACATTAATTGTATTTACAAATAATTCCATTGATAAAAACTGTTATACAATTAGAGGATATCTGTAGATACCAGAGCTGTTATATTGCTTGAGCGCTTCTGACAAGAGCTTTTTGCTATGAAACACTTACAAGTGAAAGCTGTAAGCTATAAACCCCGTTTGGAAAAAGGGATTTCATGCTCATCGTTCGCGGTTAAACAATTATTAAACAGTTTTCCGCGCATTTTCACAATGTGAAAATTCAGTAAGAAAGAAAGTTTTGCAATAGAAACAATTAAGGCAAAAACTGCAAGCCATGTTTTGTCGCAACGAAAGCTGAAAAGCTGTTGTACACACATATACACAGGGAGATTTTCATGCCTTAGCCTTAATGAGCGGTGGGGATGAGTCTACAGTTTGGCCACAGTTTGAGAGCGACTGGCCTGAATGCCTGTCTGCCTGTGTGGTCATCGGCCTCAAATCGCTTGACAAATGCCTAGCAATTGGCATAAACTTGGCCACAGCCCAGAGTGCTAAGGCCTAATTATGGCTGTGATTCCGATCGGCTGCTTCCTTTTGCTAGACACTTCACACACTTCACACACACACACACACATACACAATGATCTGCAACGCCTCATTTGGTCCATTTGCCGCATTTGAAATGGTCTGCAATCTTTTCAATTATTGCTTATCATTTCGCATGGCCATGGGCCTATGGCAAATGTCATTAGTGCAGGGCACCAAATGCAACAATGTTGCAAGCCCATTCGCCACATGTTGCACGCTCGCCATGCTGCGCATATTTTTGTATCTATCTTAACAGCTTCGCGTCCAATTGATGATATAAATTCCAAAATTTTGCCTATCTGCCGCCTGCTACAATTTCAGCGATGCATTTGGCTTTGTTTTTGCCTCCTTGTTGCCGACGTCGACGTCGTTGCATGCAGCATGAGCTATATTTTGTTACTGTTGCTGCTTTTAAGCTTTTCCTTTGCCACTTGTCGGCAGTTGTTTGATTAATTGGCTTGCCAGCGCCAACGGAAAATGCTTTACAAATTGATTAGGGGCGCACGAGGGGGGAGGAGGGGAGTATTAGGTTTTATAGGGGTCCGGGGCACTGTAGTAAGTTATGCACCTAGTTCCGGCGCAAACTCGTTGACAAATGTTCGCGAATTAATGCCTGAAATTTAAAGTTTATCCGAACAGAAGGCGAAAGTTTTGGAGCAGCAATAGAGAGAGGGAAGGTAGAAAGATGGATAGAGACAGAGAGAGAGAGAGAGATAAAGTGAGTGAGAGATATTCCTAGTGCCTAACAGATGCATTTTCATAGTAAGACGAACTTTTACAATGCTTAAAAGTAATTTATATAGACTGGAAGCAAACTTAGATATGAATTCAACATTTTCTAACTCTTTCATTAACTTTAATGCTTGACAACTTTGGTATATTTTTGCTTTAAAGAATATTTTAGAGTTTCCCCACAGCGCACATGCAGCAAACATACAACAGACAACATAAAAGAAACTAAATTTTTTCTTAAATTTTTTTTTTTTATTTTAAAGAGTAAAAGAATTTCATAATTATCGCATACCAGTGGCCCAGCGGCCCAGCGTGTGCTGCCTGTTTCGAAAAATATTTACTGCCGCAGTTTAATTATGCAGTTGGCGAACCCTTTGCTTTTCCTTTTGGTGGATGTGCAAACTTTGGCGCATTTTATGGGGCGCTCGTTAGATGCGGCCGCAGCGATTGTGATAGGGACTTTGGGGCCGCTCCTTTATGAGTTGGAATAATATCAACACAAGACGTTAACAACGCGCACGGCTCATTATAATGGGCGGCACTTTATTTAAATGCGCGCACGGCACATCATTAACAAGGCAAACGGCTTGGCTGGCGATTGGCCGGCGTAGTCGGAGTCTGTCTGGCTGGCCAACAGGAAGGATGGAGGACGCGTCTCTATTAGCGGACGACCGCACGCACCGACAGCGACCAAAACGATTTCATAATATCTCAATTGAGGCTTGCAGCGGACTGCGGTCCATTCCATTGGCCATCGCCCATCAAAACATTGTGCCATGTACAGTGGTGCAAGACTATGCGAAAACTGTAGCAAATTCTTGAGATGCTATCAGAA